CCACTGTGTATTCCAGCGCCGTTGAACCTTCTTCCTTGCACCATCGAGTACAAGCTGCTAGAGAGGTAGAACTTTCGCATTTGGTTCGATTGATATCCACGTCACTCCTGGAGAGGATTACTCTTGCGGAGTCTTCCTCTCCTAGCAGCGCAGTGTACATAAGAGGGGATACACCGAAACCATTTTGTGCATTGAAATCGACCCCTGAAGGGTGAGCCCACTCAAGGATATCTACAAGTCTGTAGGAAGCTGCCACTTGAAGACAGTCGGTGATATCGGACTTTTTTGCGTAACCACTGAGACACCTCAAGGAGCTGGAGCCAGAGGAGTATCCTGAGTCTCCATATGGTCTCTCATGCCAACCATCAACCTGAAGAGCATAAATTCTGAGCCATTCTCGGAAGAATGCACCGCTTTGATCCCAGAAGAAATCCCTCACGAGTTCCCAAAGGGGCTTCGAAAGTAGGGTGGTTTCCATCCCATGAGGTATGTCCATCGCATGCTTGAGCCAGTAACAAACGGCATAGTTGAATGGTGATTGATGCAATGACTTTCTCCCGGCCCCGCCTTCAGCTTCAGCTTCCATCACTCCCTCCATCTGCTCTTTATCGTCTGGAGGCTTCAATTTGGTCAAACCCCGTGAAAAAAGCTGAGTCACTATAGAATGCTTTAACAAATTTAATCTATCATTGAAGAGCCATCTTACCACATGTCATAGCCATCCATGCATTCCCTTCTGCCTCGTTAACCATGCAGGATGTCACCTTGTCGTTGGCACGAGAGAGTTCAGACAATTTATCGAGAGGTTGGAGTAGGAATTCCTTGACAGTACGGTGTGTGAATCGTAGCTGGTCTTCATCGTTGACTTCCAGAAGAGGTCCACACGACGCCACCATCCGCTTTGCAGTGGGCAGGGCGACTGCATCTGGGTCGAATGTTTTCTGTCCATCCATACTTATACATGCGTATTGCATCTCTGGCACTTTGACTGGCCGGTTGGCCAATGTTACCCATAGGAGTAGTTTGCGCCGCATCTGGTGCTCCCATACGCCCCCTCTCGAGCCAAGCCGACGTAGTATAAGCTCGTACATCCCTGTTATCCCCTTTGGCATCGCTCTCAAGCGCTCAATAATGGGTTCGGGTGAAGGCTCATCAAGCTCTTCTAACACGAGTGCTGGTATCGATTGAGTATGTTTCCTCATGGTTATGGAAAAGGTGGTGCTCACCTGCATATCTAAGCATTCCTTGAGAATTCTCATATATTGTAGCGACAATTTGGTTCTCGTGGTGACGTAGACTTTCGTTGTCTGCCACTTTTTCATTCACAAATTTGCGAATATCTTCGTTAACCTCCATGTCAAGTGTCGATACAAATGACAGTGGGGCAAAGATATCGTGGACATTTGGTCGCCCCGTCAAAAGGAACCGGATAGGGGGCTCGAAGCCTACAGTTGGCATCAACATGAGGTGCGCGATAGACGATGGATTCCTAGAGGGTTCCAATAAATGATGGGCGACACTCGATGGATCGGTACATTCATCAAGGGCATCAAGAAGTATGATAACGGGGATAGGAAATCCTTGAACCATCTCTATCAATGTAGCGCAGAGTGTTTCAAGGTCTCTGGCATCATTCTTCTCTCCTGTGAAGTACGAGCTCGATCGGACTCGTAACTTCAGGAGACGCATAAGTCGTTCTGTATCCATCTCGCTTCTGATGAGCTGGGCAATAATGCTCGCCACCATTTCTGAAGGTGATACTGTCAAAGTTTCTCCATCTCGAAAGAAGAAGTAGAGCGTCAAAATTTCTTCTTGTTCGCGTAGCTCGTCGATGAGACTTGTAGCAAGAACAGACTTTCCAGCACCTCCATCACATTTAGATTTATTTACTTCTAAGAGGAAAATGACGCTTACCAGGTATACCGACTACCCAGAGGTCGCGATTTCCGGTCCCATTTATCCACGTCTTATACTTTTCGGTCTTGAAGATCCATTCACAGGTGCCTTCAAGTCGCCTCTCCTTGTTGGAATCGTATGCTAACTTAGAAGTGCTGGCATTGAGCCATTGTAGCGCCTTTTCATCGGAAATTTGGACAAAAAGATCTTTCATTTCGGAAACGATATCCAATTTTTGCCGAAGATCTACAAATTCGTTCAGTTTCCCTTGGGCCTGTGCACATTTAGGATAGCTACCTTTGACGCCGTCCATAGTAGCCATAGTCGCCAATCGCTTCAATTTTTTCTCTTTGTCTTCAATTTGAGCCAAGTGAGGTCGGAAACTTGAGGAAGTTGGCTTGAGAGAATGTTTAATTTTCCCTTCAAGTCATGGCTGTCAGCTTTAGGATTTGCAATGGAGGTAATAAGTACCCTTACCAGTGGTAGAGGACACAAAGAACCTCTTTACTTTGATAGCAAACACCAGTATGGTAGCGTAGAATTCGGGCAATGCAGCTTCTACCTGTTTATCCCAAGCTGCAGATGTCTCTGGATTTGTAAATCGTCTGTGAAGTGCACTTGCAAAGATCGATGCATAGAATTCACAGTTGGCCATCGAAACTGCGATCGTTTTCAACGATTCTTCTATCATGTCTACATTCTCCTTATGATTTAGGTACATCTAGATTATAAAAAATATCAATGTTTTGTGCATCACAACGCAGAGCCAAAATAAATACCTCTACAAGTGATTGTGCGGCACCCCATACGAGACCTGTTGCCTCTGGCTGTTGCCGCTGAACTGTCGACCCAATCAATCCAGCGTACTTGGTGAACCCTTCAACAATTTTATCGAACCGGTCTCTGAGTATTACTACTTCCCCGTCATTCTTAGTATACCGCCACTTGCTTTCGTCTCGGTCGGCTCGAGCCTTGTTTGCGGCATCGAGAACCGAGTACACCGTAGTGCAGGATATTGTGTCGGGGTTGATCTGCGATCTCTCGTTTTCGTTGAGCGCTCCAATAGCGATCTCGTATGCCATTTTCCATTGATTCCTAGATTCCATGTTTAGCAAACTTATTACCCCGTTAGGCGGCTCTGCAACTTACTCATTTTGAGCATCTATGAGATTCGAAGTCAAGCTCCCTTTCGAGTGATGAGATGAAAGCGAATGCCGGCTCTGCGCACTTGGTATAGGCAGCAGCGCGTCGGCGTACGGTAAGGCGCCAACATCTGCGGGTCCGCTCTGAGAATAGGACGCGTCTTCTATAGTTATGGAGGGTTTGTGAGCGTGTTTATCCACTGATTCGGTGTCGGAACTCTCATGTGTACTCGAAGTGTTTGGGATCAGGGTTTGAGGACCCTTCTTTCTGCCAAACAAGTCGCGCCAACCGCGTGAAAGTCTTTTCTTGCGGCTTTCAGAGGTGCCTGCGCCAGATTTACTGGAGGACATGAGTCCCTGGCTATTTCTGAGGGATATAGTGGTACGAAGGAACGTTATGAATAGATGTCATTACGCCCATGGTGAATTGGGATTGGTTCAGTGTTAACCAGCCGTTCAGCTGGGAACAACCCGCGTGCTGGGTAATAGCCCAGTTTGGACACAAAGCGACTTGGCCTCACCCTCGCGAATCAACTTTGTAGGATGTATGAGCTTGCTGTTATCATGGGATGACTGAAGTCTCATTTTCACAGTAGAAGCTTTTAGACATTTTACGGCTTATCGCAACTTCATTATTCTTTAACTGCTGGAATCATGTGAGGTGTTTGTTGGTGCCAAGACATAAGGATCATATCTGGCGATATGCAATAAAACCAAGCACTCATAGAGGTCCATTTAGGGTCGCTCAGGTCTCCATACTATGACGGTGTCATGGTTAGGCGGGGACACCAAACGTGATCTGTACCGCCATTACTCCAATAACGACCTAGTGGTCTTGGCTGTCGACTTCTTGGAAATGAGTGCGAATATCCGTCATTTATGCCCATTACCAACGAGCCTAATCGCCCTCAAATATCTTCGTATTCAATTCAACGAGCTGCTTCTCTCACATTTATCTACCCATTGGAGCGTCTTATAAAGTGTAATGCTGGGACCTATCCTTGGAGAAAGATATGATGTCAAACCGAGATCACAGAAAACGTCTTTCGTAAGGTACATAGGCCATTTCTCGTCGACCATATCCTCTCCATTTGCTCGAAGACAATTTAACAACTCGGGGACCCTGCGTTTTGCCCGTCTACTGTAGATTTATAGCAAATTGAAATGAAAGAGCTTGGGGATACCGGATAAAGGTCAATCAAAACCTGATGGTATGGAACTTATTACCAAACATACGCCACAGTGACCTTACAAAGATTCATTGCTACACGATTAGGTACGCACATCTACCTTCCTACCCTTCTTTACAGGCCTGATTAGGCTTCGAGCGTATACTAGATACGGTATACGGCTTCGTGCTGCAGAAGGATTGATGTACCAAAATGATTGTGCCCTCCACACTTTGAAAGTCCATCCGGTACATTTCTCTCTCTGGACTTGGCATTATCATGGGATAAC